TTRKTYMAWTTTTTCAWTAAGAATAYRCTGATCAGTGGTGTCAAAAGCTTTCTTCAAGTCAACATAAACACTAACACAGCATTGTTTTTGATCAAYASCAGTTGTTATTTGCTCTATTAAAACAGTACAGTGATTTCATTGTCAAATCTTAAATGTGGGTGATTTCAGGCAAAGAAGAAATACCTGCAGCTCTCTCTGGTACCAGGTGAGGAGGTTGAGGTCCAGGTTGCAGTAAGATTAGCCTTTTCAGCAGAGACAGGACACTGGAGCAGCTGGTCCCAACCTGTGCGAGTTTCAGTTCCCCAAAGCGCAGGTACATAAATGCAGGCAACAAGGAACTGATTCCCGTACGCTAAGAAAATAATATTCATCCTGTTTCTTTTCAGATAAAGTCGCTTTAGGTTGCACTTTTGACCTGCAAAATGTTACCTGTGRCTGGAATGGAACAGTTTTTGGAGCGAACGACAAGTACAAACTTTTCTACAAGATGAGTTTTGGGTACGATGAAAACCTCTGTTGAATTTTCATCTTCTCATTTGGTGGCTTGGAAATTTTTTTMTTTTTTCCAATTTTTGGGAAGTACAGTTGTAGTTCTGACGTTTATTTGTTTTATTTTGACACTACCCTTGTAGAGACTCYTTGCAGTGGACTGAATGGGCCGAGTGTGTGGCTGCTGAAGAGGTCACCGACACKTGTTCTTTTCACGGAGATGGCGTTAAAAAAATAAAGCTCGAGCTCGACAGCTCTTCAGATACAATCAACAGAACTTTCTTTAGCGACGTACTCACCCTCAACAACTTGAGTAAGGGTTCTTTGTTTCTGTCAGAGCATTGGTTGTGTTTTTATGGCTCTGCCCACTGAGGTCAGAGTTATACTGTTTTCTGACTGTCTGTGTGCTAGTGCGGTGTCCGTCATGGGTRGTCTTTTGTGCATATCTCCTGAATGAAATTACTAAATAACTATAAAAAAAGCATAGTAACTACCAGGGTTATTATAGTTAACTAAATAACAAAAAAATGAAATTGAAAAAAATATTTTAGTTAACTAAAATAAATAAAAACTGTAACAAAATGAAAAAATGATTATCTAAAACTGTAAAATCTTTTTACAAAACTAACTAAAACTAACTGAAACTAGAGAAATTACATTTCCTGCAAAAATGCCAGTGTGAATGCCTGTTACTGAAAGTTGCTGAAATTGAGCTGARAATGTTTAATAGCAAAAGTATTATTCTAAGTCAAACTTTAAAAGCTGAAAGAAGCAAAAGATAACACAGAAAAACAGTGAAAAAGGAGCAAAAAATTTAGTTAAAATAGCATAAAAAAGCAAAATGCTAAAATAGCTTAATTAAGCATAAAGCACCTGTAAGAAACATGCATAACACAAAGTACCAGAAAAGAACACCAAAAAGCAAAATAAATAAATAATTAAAAAAATAGCATAGAAATAGTAGAAAATAGAACTACAGATAAAATAGCAGAAAAAAGCTAAAATTAGCATGAAAGCTAACCAAAAGTAGAAGCCAGAAGCTGGAAATACAGTATTTTATTTAGCATAAGAATGCATAGGGAGTACTACCTTGGTGAATTTGTTGTAATTGCTACAAACAAAATATGCATATAGCCTAAAAAGCTAATTTTAGCTATTAACAGCWAAAATGTAGCTCAATTTGTAGAAACTATCTGAATAAAGTAGAAAGCAACTGTAAGAAATATAAATAGTTCAAATTAGCAGAAAAAAAGCACAAATAAAGCAGAAGAATAGCACAAAGAAGCAGAACTATAGCTGAAATAACGGAAAACAGCCAAAGTTAGTAAAAACGTTTCTAAAAATTGCACAAGGGAGTAAAAAAGAGCACAACCAGAATAAATTGTGTAAGGTTTTGTAAAGATTTAAAAACTATTTGAAGGATTTGAAGGTTGTTGAAAGTAGCCCCATTCAAAGTCAATGGGAAAAAAGTGGCTAAAAAAGTTGAAATAGCTAAAAAGCTATACATAGCTGAAATACCAAAAGTCATAGCCGGCATTACACGAAAGAGCTGAACGTTTTGATATATGAATGGTTGAAGAAGCACAAAAATTGTGGAACAAGAAAGGTGCCGAAAAACGTACGGAAGAAAAAAGGATCTCAATTGTGTGAATGCCATACAGGCATTCACACAACTATAGACAGAATATCCTTATTTTAGTGTTTGTCAAATCATTTTGAGCCATGTGGATCTTATAATTTTTTATTTTCAAATTGAGTAGTTTCACATGAGCTTTGGGCAGCTTACGGCACCTCAGGGTCTGTAACAACACTTGCTTACAGTCTGCTGCTGCTCAGCATTGTATGCTAAATGACAACAACAAAAGTTGGGAAAGCAGCAATGCCCACTTTGGGATTTCTTTGAATATGACTCCGAGAAAAATAAAAGCAAGTGTCTTGTAGTAGAGACAGGTGATAAAACAGGTGGAATACTTCTCAAGGGAAAAACTGCATGAATCAAGCTAGCACAAGATGGCTAACTATGACTATCTTGACATGCTAGCTTCTCTCAGTAGCTCCCGTGAAAAACAAGCAACAGGTAGCACCGGGTTGGAGACAACTATTGTTATTGTCCTAAAATAATCACCCAAGTCCTTAGTTGGCAAAATTGACTTACACAATTATTTTAGGAAGTTGTCGCTTTAATGGACTGCTTTAACTAGCGACCAAAAAGCTGCTGGTTAGTTAACTCGAAGGAACGTCACAAGCTTGAGGATGC